AACATGTACCTGCATTGAAGAAGAGTCTTCTATCCTTGGGAAAGTTTGACAAGCTTGGAATGAAAATCATAGGGGAGAATCGTCAGCTAAAGGTAGTCAAGGGCATTATGGTTGTGGCAAAGGGTAAACTAGTTGGGAATTTATACAGATTGGTGGGTGAGACTTTAGTGGGAGAAGCTGCTGTTGCAAGTACCAAGTCTGAATCCTCTTTTGTTTGGCACAAACGGTTGGGACATATGAGTGATCGTGGGCTTTAGGTACTATCTAATCAAAAACTTCTTCCTAGTTTCAAGACTGACTCATTGGGTTTTTGTGAAGTGTGTTTGGAAAACAACATAGGCTGTCTTTTTCTTTGTCAACAAACAGAAGCCATAAATTCCTTGACTTGATTCATGCTGATACTTGTCAAGTACCTGCTGTTTCTATTGGTGGGTGTTCTTACTTTGTGACATTTATTGATGATTTCTCTCGAAAGGTATGGATTTTCATGCTCAAAAGGAAATCTGATGCTTTTGAAAAATTCAAAAAGTTTAAAGCATTAGTAGAAAATCAAAAAGGCACAAAAATTAAGTGTCTCCGAACTGATAATGGGGGAGAATTTTGTAGCAAGGAGTTTGATGATTTTTGCAATGAGCATGGTATTAAGAGACATCTTACAGTACCAGGAACACCACAGCAGAATGGGGTTGCTGAGAGAATGAACCGAACTCTCATGGAGCGTGCTAGATGCATGATGAGCACTGCAAAATTGGGGAAGGAATTTTGGGCTAAAGCTGTTAACACTGCATGCTATCTAATCAACCGTTCACCCACTATTTCTCTCAAGATGAAAACTCCGGAGGAGGTTTGGTCTGGTAAACCTGCAAATTATTCTTTCCTTCGAGTATTTGGATGTGATGCTTATGTTTGGGTGCCTAAGGAGAAAAGAACCAAAGTTGACAAAAATTCAAAAAGATGTATTTTTCTTGGCTATGAGACAGGTACAAAGGGGTACAAATTGTGGGATCCTACTGCCCGCAAGCTTATTATTAGCCGAGATGTGGTTTTTAATGAAGATGTTTTTCAATGCACAGCTAAAAAGGAAGAAGCAAGGAAGATTGTTATTGAGCAAGAAGCTAGTTTTGATGATGCTGTACAGGAGGAAAATATTCAAAATGATCCTCAATCTGAGTCTAAGCCTGAGTCTGAGCTTGAGTCTGAGCTTTTACATGAAGGAACTTCATCTGGTGATGCTGTTTCGCCTCGACCTCGAAGGGCCATTAGACCTCCAGCGAGGTATGATGACTATGTTACATCTTTGAAGCCTCAATCTAATTATGTATGTGCTTATCTTGCTTTGTCAGAAGAACATGAGCCAACTTCTTTCAAAGAGGCTTGTGAGTCTGTCAATTTTGACCAATGGCGAGGTGCAATGGAGGAGGAGATGGAGTCTTTGCACAAGAACAAAACTTGGGATCTTGTTCAGCTACCAGAAGGTCGAAAGGCAATTGGATGTCGCTGGATATACAAGTTGAAGAAGGATTCAGAAGGGAATATAGAAAGATACAAAGCTAGACTTATGATTAAAGGGTATGCCTAAAAACCTGGTATTGATTTTGATGAAGTTTTCTCACCAGTTGTTCGTATGACTACTATTAGAGTTGTTTTAGCTTTTGTTGCTTCTCTTGATCTTGAGTTAGAACAACTAGATGTCAAGACAGCTTTCTTGCATGGTGACTTGAATGAAGAAATTTATATGACACAACCTGAAGGCTTTGTTGAAGAAAATAATAGAAGTTTGGTTTGTCGGCTGAACAAATCGCTTTACGGTCTGAAATAGGCGCCTAGATGCTGGTATAAGCGGTTTGATTCCTTTATCGTGAGCTTGGGATTTCATAGATGTGAAGCTTATCATTGTGCTTATTTTTGTGATTATAATGATGGATGCTTCTGTATCTTGTTATTATATGTAGATGACATGATTATTGCAGGAAATAATCCCACTTATGTCTCTACATTAAAAGCTCAACTTGCTGGGGAATTCGATATGAAAGACTCGGGAGCCGTGAATCAAATTCTTGGGATGAAGGTATTTAGAGATAGAAAGGACATGAAGATCTGGTTGAATCAAAAGAACTACATAGAAAGGGTTCTGCAGCGCTTCAATATGCAGAATGCTAAACCAGTGAGTACCCCCTTTCCTGTTCATATTAAGTTGTCTTCGGAATACTCACCCAGCACTGAAGCAGAGAAGGCAGCGATGTCTCGAGTACCATACTCATCAGCAGTAGGGAGTCTTATGTTTGCTATGGTCGGAACTAGGCCGGACATTGCACAAGCAGTGGAAGCTGTTAGCAAATACATGGCAAATCCTGGTCGTGTTCATTGGGATGCAGTGAAGTGGATCCTTAGATATTTAAAGGACACTTCAAGTGTTTCATTGTGTTATAGGTCAATGGAACCCGATTGTGTTGGTTTTGTTGATGCAGACTTTGCCGGAGATAGAGATAAAAGAAGATCAACTTCTGGTAATGTCTTTATCATGGCAGGTGGTGCAGTTAGCTGGGAGTCTAAATTGCAGCCGGTTGTAGCCTTATCAACAACAGAGGCAGAGTATATCTCTATCTCTCATGCTTGCAAAGAAGCTATTTGGTTGGAGAGGTTGCTTGCAGAATTTAAAATGAAGCAGGACACGTTTTCTATGCATTGTGACAGTCAAAGTGCTTTGTTATTGGCTAAGAATCCAACTTTTCACTCTTGCACAAAGCATATCGATGTCCGCTATCATTTTGTTCGACAATTAGTTGAAGATGGGAAGATACTTCTGCACAAGGTTCACACAAGTTCAAATCCAGCAGATATGTTAACAAAACCAGTGGCTCGTGACAAGTTCAATTGGTGCAAGTCTTCAATTGGACTTGAAGAAGTTTGATTCCTTTTCATTTTTCTGTTTGTTTTTTTGTTTCAAGAAACATGTCTTCAAGTGGGAGATTGCTGAAGACCAAGTCCAATAAAACTGTTAGTGGAGTCCTAATAAAGTGGAGCTGCTGGAGCATACCAGATTTTTTATCTGATATGAAGCCACGTTTTTAGTAGGAGAGTTACAACAAACTTCTGTTATTTTGCTGCCTATAAATAAAGAGAATGACCAGTTGTACTGTGTGTCAAATTCTCATCTTTTCATCATATTTTCTTATTATAGTTGTTCTGCTTCCAAATATTCAGCAATAAAACTCATTTCAGTTTCCAGTCACTGTACTTCTCATTCTTCAATTTGCTGTCATATGCATAAACACCATTTTACACTTGATCCACTTTTAATTTATCAATGACTTCGTGTGGAGAAGAACTTGTGAAAGTGATCGCTTTCCATTGACCCTTTTTTATTATTATTATTAAGTGATCGCTTTCTATTTACAATTTTTTTTTAATGTAACAATTCACAAAAATGAGAGATCATGTGGGCATTTTTTTTAAAAAAAGGAGAAAATATATTATTAAATAATGTTACTTTATTCAATATGACAAGAAAATATTAAAAAAAATTTAATTTTTTAATGTGAGTTTAATAAAATGATATTATTTTAAATTGTTTTTTTCTTATTTTTTAAGGCCTAAGCCAAGTAAACACTCTACCTTAAAAAAAAAAAAAAACAATGGTAATATTTATTTCTCCAATATTTCCTAATTCCTAGTGTTTTTTTCATCTTAATTGTCACTCGCCCCAAAAAAGAAAAAAAAATGAACAGAGAAAAATTCTCTTGGTTTAGATTGATATTTGAGAAAATGTATAAATAAAGATATTAATGTTATTTTTTTATTTAAAAATGTTAATTTTGATAATTTTTAAATAAAAATATTACCTTTTAATTCTTTATATAATGATATTAACATTCAATTTTTTTATTTAAGAATATTAATTTTTAATATTCTTATTAAAAAATTTGTCTACCATGTCAATGTTATTGTTTAATTAATTCTTAAATATAAAAAGTTAAAAATTTATAT